TTTAAACTATATTCTTAATTATACTTTTAACTATAGCTTTAATTCTCGTTTTGTTGAAACTATTCAAATAACAATAAAAAACAAAATCAGAATATTTAAATAACATAGACAGAGTGTAAAAAATAGTGTATCTAGTGTTTTAACTATATTCTTAATTATACTTTTAACTATAGCTTTAATTCTCGTTTGTTGAAACTACTGTATCTATAAGAATAAAAGAAGTACAACCACTCTGCCCTAATGGAAGGTACCGTTTCAGGACTGTTACCTACGGAATTTTACGCTATCGAAATTCGCTTGGCATTAAAATGTGGCATCAATGACTTTTTTCTTCAAACGTCACAAAAGTATTAGTTTTGCGACGTGATTGGCAATATAAAAAAGTTATTATATCAGATGTTTTAAGTCGAGAAACCGATCTCTACCATCCTCAATTAACACAACAATAAAATATAGTAGTAATTAAATAATATTATAGCCGACAAAACATCTGCACGTAACTCTGCTAGAGTAATTGCCAACAAATAATAATAATATTAGTTTTCATTGACAGTGACATTACAAAAATAATAAATCTTCTTTCTCAGATGAGTTCATTAGGACTAAAAGCGAAGGCGTGCTTTTAATGGCAAAATTGTTATTAAACTGTTTTCTTTAAAAAAGAATATCTCCAACAAATACTCGTAAATTTTGAAAAAAAAACAAATTTTGGCTATTTTAAAAATTGTCCTTAATTCTATTATAATCTATTTTAGAGTTTAGACAAAAAAATTTTAAATAAAAGTTGTAGATAATCACATCCCTAATGAGCTTGTATTCTCCGATTTCTTCTAAAGCCTGTCATTTTCGACATATGACACAAATATATGTTTTTCTTTTAAATGGAAACCATAGTTGGCCATGACTTCACAAAAAGCGCCATTTTTTAAGCTTTTCAGCGAGATAAGCTATATTATGTTTTTTTTCAAAAAAATACTGAGTTATAGCCAATTCTTATCCCAAGAAGCATTTTTTGTTTTATAAGTGTGTTAGGAAACTTCCCAACACACCATATTATACAACCTAAACGCATCTAGAATGGTTGTCGTGAGTTATTGGTAACCATTATATAACACTTATATGCGCTAAACGGTCCATTTTATAACTGTTCCTGTGATAACCCTTAACACTCAAGGTGTGCAACCAAAGTCCTGAAAACTTTCTCAACGCCTTTATATATACTATCGAGTTACCGCTACAAAACTGAAAAAGGGGATATAATAGTTATATAGTGGTGTTGAGAAGGTTCCCAGAGACTACCTCCATAGAAATACCGCGCATGCGCGTTTTTTGAAAATATACTTGTTTCTTTCTGACTAACTATTTTAATATTTGCCTCGTTTTTTAACATAAAAAGCAGATATGATCTTATTGCTCCAAGTTGTCCTACGCAGATAATCCAGACCAGAAACAAAAGAGACAAAATGACGCCATCCCTGTCATACCTAGCCTACAAAAGCGCTTGCGTTATGCAAATGACTTTATAGAAATTACTGGCTTAATAACATCTATTTTGCCTATCCAGAGTACTAAATACATATGCGATATTAAATTTACTGTGTGAAAATCAATTTTACCTCCAAAAAACACATGCGCCCCCAAAAGCAGAATTACTTAATAGATTTTTTTATAAACAAAAAAAATTTGGTAAAATTTTTGTAATGAAAGTCAAATTTATTAATATAAATAATAGAACATACGACTTTTTTAATACATAGAAATAACTGGCAACTGGCCAAAATATAGTTTTGTACCAGTTTTAACGTTATCTTAGAAATACTCATTGAAGCCAAAAATGAAGCATCAATAATAATGGCGTCCATTATATATAAAGTGCTATATATTACTTTAGGGTCTATCATATACTCATCAACCATTATATAAATTTGGTTACTTAAGGTTACATAATTGAGTTTGGGTTATTTAAAACACCAATTTTAGTGTTTTATACAACTAAAGGTGATACAAATCACCATTATAAATGCCGGGGTATTTATGGCTACTTTTAGTCACCCAGAAAACCTTTATGTAACCCGAGGTGTCGACTGTAGCGACCAGGGTTCGGAAAACTACATGTTACTTTTAAAAACTACATAAACTACATTACATGTAGTTAATGTAGTTTATGTAGAGGGTGTAGTTTATGTAATATATGTAGGTAACTTTCAAATATCAATGCTTTGAGGTGAGGTTATAATAAGTTAAAGCTTTAAAAACACATAATGTATTTAAGAAAACAGAAGAAATATGGCTTTAAATATAATATTTACATCATATTATCTCTATTACACCTCATATAAAGGATAATTATTCATAATATCAATACATAGTTTATTAACGTAGTTTTCATGTAGTTAATGAACGGGAAAAGACGTAGTTTTTGAAGAAAAACTACACGTAGTTAATCAGGTAAATTAGGTACGTCTTAATTAACTACTTCCGAACCCTGGTAGCGACTCCCTGCGAACGAAGTTTGACATTACAGCAATTTGACAGAAAATGTGCAGAAAACAAAACATAACCTCATAAAATTGAAATAATGCTGTTTTGGTTCAATTTAATCTATATTTAATGTGGTAGGAGTTTTCAAAAGAGTTCTAGGGTCCTTTGGTACTTTGGTAGAACAGTTATGAATGAATTCACTAGAGAAAAAAGCTCTTTAAGTGTAGAATGTGTAATGTTAAAGCGCAAAGCTCATTCTCTTACGTTATGCATTCTTTAATGCCTTAACCAGGCATCTTCTGTTCCTAATCGTTCTGGCAACTTTCTGTTGGAAATATCTCAGGTTGATCCTGATCTCTGCTTGTGGATGGTAAATTTGCATGTTGGCTTTCAATATTGGTAGATATAGTTTGAATGAGGTTTGGATTATTCCTATTTTTTTAAACTCTGAAAAACCTTTCTTTTGAACGTAGATGTATTTTTGTGTTTTGTCCAGTTTATTTTTTTATTATTTATTATAATACCGAATTGCTTTGCTTGCTAATATATTATTTGTTTTGATTACATTAAAAATTTGAGATTATGTCATTAGGTTTGATATTCGGTAACTACAGGTTAAGGTGCGTATTCATTATCCGAACGAACGAACGAACGAATGAAAGTGCGGTATATTTAGACGGAGACCGAACGCATGCGGCCGTTCGTTCGTTCGTTCGTTCGCTCGACCATCCGTTTCGAGTCGGTACATCAAAGGCGTTCGCCAACAAATGCCTTCGGTCTTCTCGTGCGGTCCTATCGTGCGGTCCCCGTCCATACCACTAGCGAACATTCGTTCTTTCGTTCGTTCGTTCGTGCGGATAATGAATACGCACCTTTATATAAAGCATGCAACCATTTGAAAGGTGCAAAAAAACGATTTGAGGGAACAATCATATAACTTGTAGTGTTATTGGTTACATAATGGTTCTTAATAACACCTTTAATTATATGGTGTATATCTTGCGTACCTATCTAACACCTAATACCAGAAGTTATATAAAATGATGTGAACACCTTTATAAAACCTTACTATGAAACCTTTAGTAACAAGAACCTCTAGTTTTATAAGGAAAGTGATAAACAACATTTTAAGGTTTCTATTAGTGATAAGTAACCAACGCTACACTTATATAAATCAAAACACTGTAAGATACCAATGAGACATTTATTAAACCTTTATATAACTAACCTTGAGAATATATAACCTAAAGGAACTTAAAATGTTACTTGGGATCTTTCTTGGTTAATTTCACTAGTATTCTTATTCTGTTATAGTTTATAACTTATAAAAAGGCTGAATATATATTATTAAACGGTTCTTTGTAATTTAGATTACACAAACTAAAACTTAAAAAAATAATATTACCTACTACATACACTTTAAGTTATTTTAGAAAATGTTCAAAAAATCCGCCATTGTTTTGAATACATATAAATGGATCTTTTTAAAACTGAATTACTGGCTATTCTCACAGAACGACCGGTCGACTTAATTATATTTCTCCCGTACCGCCTCTTTGAGTGCCTCTCTTAATTCATAAGTTTTTTTGTAAACCTTGTTGTTAACCATACCGCATAAAAAAATCTAAAATAGATAGGTCAGGTGATCGAGGAGGCCCATGCAAATGGTCCACTTCTTCCTATCCCTGAGTTTGCATAATTATTATATAAATAATTTTTAACATTTCTTTCTTTATGGAGGGGCTTCATAATGAAAGTGATGTTGGAACCACTCTATTGATGCGCGAGTATCTAAATTTAACTTTCCTAACATGTCTTGAAATCCGTTCTCTAAAAAACTAAGTAACGTTCATCGGTCAACGTATCCTCGAAAATGTATGGCCAAGAAAAGTTGAACCAACAATCCTACACGCTGTTCTTCGTTTGAAAAATTCATATTTACAATTTTTGTTTATTTTAATTTACAAAGTTTGAATGTGACAGTTTCACATTTCTGAGGTCAACGAAGATTAACTTGTTTCCATGGCTAACTAAGCGAAGTTGTTTAAAAATATTAAGAATCGGCTATAACTCAGTAATTTATCTAAAAAACATATCATAACTTATATCACTGAAAAGCTTAAAAAATGGAGCTTTTTATGAAGCCATAGCCAACTATGGTTTCCATTTAAAAAAAGAACATATGGGGCACAATCTTATTAAGAATGTGATTATCTACAACTTTTATCTGGAAACTTTTTGTTTACTATAATCTACAATTTTTAAAATAGCCGAAATGTTTTTTTTCCAAATATCTAGTAAGCCATGAACTTTTTTAAAAATCTGAAAAGTGCATGTTTATGACTCCACAAAACTGCAGTTCTTTCCCCATTTAACCGACTCTCTAGCTCCAGTAGTTTCCGAGGTTAAAAGGAGTATACCAATGACGTAGCATTTACGTAAAACAGCAATCTACGTCATTGGAGTAAAATTTTTGTAAAAAGCTATCATAAGTATGGAAAGAATTTTGAAAAACTTACCTTAAAGGCATGGAAGAAGGCGTAGGTAATGACAGAAGCCCTCTCGTCAGCCCCTCTAGCTTTTAAAAATCGGCTGATCATTTTCGGTCTCAGAACACAACCGAACTCGTCTGACAGTTGGATGACGTGTCCCCCACCATCCGATGCCACGCAAGATTTAACTCGCATATCAAATTCACCTGAAAACAAGAAAAAGTAGGTTTACTTTCGAGGTAACAAAGGCACAAAATTGCAGAAGGGATATAAAATTATCCTTTAATCATCATATCAACAACTAGTCAAATTGGACAAAAAATTCTAGTCCTAGAAAGTTATCAGGTAGAGTTCCTCAGGGTTTAATCCTTGGATCTCTCTCTTTTTTTTGTATTTGTATTTGTTTGGCATTTGCCATCCAGACTATACCGAGTGCATCTCAAAGGTGGCTCACTCCTATAACTTTTTATTATGACATAAATTAGGATTGATTGACGTATTCAACTGTTTTTGGTCACTTCCTGTTTCACCGGAAATGACTACAACTTTTGATTTTTAAATATAATTAATAATATTTTTACTTTATTCGATATGTCAATTTTTGACATTTTTGCTTACAAAAAGATTAACTAATTTTTTTATTAACTTACTAATTTTTCAGAACTAATTGCTTTCTCTATCTTCAAACTCATCTGTCAAAGATAATCAATACAAAAAAAATCTCCTGGTTTGCACACGGTGCCTCGTTGCATCGTTTGCTTCCTGGTTTTTTGTGTCTTGGGATCGGTTTCTTCGCTTCCTGATTCCTTACCGTACTGATGAAGCCTGAAGGCAGTTACATCAGTGTGCACTAGTGTAGGTGTGGTGGTGTGAGTGTGTGAGTGTGCGTGTCTGCACTGGTGTACACTGGTGTATACGGTTACGAGTTGTTGAGGGCTGAGCCGTTTAATCTTTTTTCTTCTTTTTTATACATTTCCCTCACTATTTCTTTCTTTTTCATATGGGTACCACGGCTAAGGGTATTGCGGCGGGTTGCTGTTGGCTACCTCCGCGGCTGTTCTGGACGAAGCCCACAATCCTGGGCGACTCTGGTTCTTGGCTGCAAATTGGGGCTTTAGGCTCCCGTTTGCTCCTTTTATTTTCCATCTTTTTTATTTTTGTTTCTTCATCAATTTTTTTTCCATCTCCACGGTGCCTCGTTGCATCGTTTGCTTCCTGGTTTTTTGTGTTTCGGGATCGGTTTCTTCGCTTCCTGATTCTTTACCGTACTGATGAAGCCTGAAGGCTGTTAAATCAGTGTGCACTAATGTAGGTGTGGTTGTGTGAGTATGCGTGTCTGCACTGGTGTACACTGGTGTATACGGTTACGAGTTGTTGAGGGCTGAGCCGTTTATTCTTTTTTCTTCTTTTTTATAATCAATACAGACGATGTGATTTTAGTTAGCCTTGAAGTCAAACCAGAGCGAATCGAAAACAGCCATTGGTATTCAGGAACTGATCGCAGGATCAGGTATGTGCGTATATGGGATCAGTGGATCAGTTCCAAAAAAGGAGACTACAGCTGAGATAAATAGCGTCTAAGGCTTGACCTCGCCAAAATTATCATCGATTGTCATTCCCCAACCATCTTTGACGCCGTTTATCATCGTATGGTAGAAATAGTAACGGGTTACCTTTCTAACCGAGTGTTGATGTCTCCCATATTTGATGGTTTATATTAAAAAGAATAAGATGAATTAAAAAAAATCAAATTATTGATATAATTTACAACTCGATGACAATGTAGTTTTTAAATTTCTTACTTTGTTAAACCATTCCACAGGATGTTTTAAACTTTGGCGAAAATAACATTTTGTTTTCCTGCATATAAAAATGGGAACTTTAATATTTAACTTGAAAAGAGACTAAAAAGTCAAAAACTTAGCTACAAATTACTTAAAAAATGAAACTAGTCTAGTAACGGAGATACCGTATGATTTCAACCAAAATGGTACCCCTGTACAGGGTGGCGCCTCTCATACGCCGCGCAGGCTCCAAGGAGAACGACAGTTTGTATTGAAATGAAATTTTGGGAGAATATGTAGGTTAATTCAGAGCACTTTTTAAAAATATAGAGAATTCTACAGGGTGTCCCCCAAAAAAGTTACATATTAAAGTTGTGTTTTTGTAATGGAACACCCTATATATTAGTTGATTTTCGGATTCTGGGAAAAAAATAAAGGTGAGTTTTATAAGAGAAGTATATGACTAAAATGTAAGGTTTTTGACATATTTAACATTTTCCAAAAATAAAAAACAACTTATAAATTACAATAAAAGCTACCTAAATTGTAATTTAGCTGGTATAGCCTAATATGTAGTTAAATTATCTATTGCACTTTAAATCAAATTAAAATTTAATCCCCAAAGTTATACAGGGTGAGACAAAATTAATATTGAACATTGGTCACCTTTAAAAGCTGTTAAAAAATGTTACTCGCTTATTTTAAATGGAACACCCAGTATATTATTCCGATATTCAATGGAGAGTGCATGTCTCTTCAAAATACTATTAAGGTTGCCTACCCCTCAAACCAAGATTTTCCTAGATATTTTCATTTACATGATTTGATCTGAGTAGATCTTTATTATTTGATAAAATCTAGGTGGCTGTGATAGGTCTGATGTTACTGCAACCTAGCTGTCTAATTAGTCCAACATTAACAACTAGTTATCATTTTGTGTCAGTTAAAACAAACAAAATTTCTCAGAAATTTGCCGAAAATGCAAACTTATCCTACGTTCTCCTTGGAGCTTCCGCGGCGTATGAGAGGCGCCACCCTGTACAATAATATTTTTAATGTTTATAAGAGCTCATTAAAAAGTTTGCAATCATTGCACGATCATGATAGTGGTCAGTTAGTCAATCCATAAATAGCGACAAATTAACAGAAAACGAAGAAATCTTATTATATTAATAATTAAAGTCAATTGCAGCAAAATTACGAGAAAACCTTTTGTTAATAGGTATAATTAACGAGTTTAGTATATCGACATAAATTAACTTTTTCAGTGATTCTCACGCACTCGAAATGCACCATTAAACTAAGCCGTATACCGCTAAAGGAAACGTTTTATTGTTTTCCAACGTGGACACACATTTTAATTACGATTTTTAAGTGTTCTGTTTACCCACTTTTGGAAATTATAATCGCACGAACATTGTACTAACGGCACAATTGGTCATGACAGGTCGATGATGACAGTATCGGAAATTCTTCAATTCGAGCATAAGATATAGAAGAGATACTTTCATTTAATATTTATTATTCTAAAACGTGTAAAGATGTAAAAGGTAATATGATACACTATGATACATATGTGTTTAGTACAAATACGTATTAGTTTTTAATAAAAATAATTAAACACAACACAGACTAGAAATACGAACAGGAAAAAAAACATTTTATTAATAACATTTTACATAATTCCAAGAAATAATTTTCAAAAAAAAATATACGGGGTGCGTCTCAAATGTGGCTCATCCCTATAACTTTATTATTTTTTCAGATAAAAAATCGAGATTTGGTATGTTAGTATATGACATAAATTAGGATTTATTGACGTATTCAATTGTTTTTGGTCACTTCCTGTTTCACCGAAAATGACTAGAACTTTTGATTTTTAAATAGCACCCTCGGTATTTTTTTACTTTATTCGATAGAAAATCACACTCTGAATAGAATGACATATCATATGTCAACTTTTGACATTTTCGCTTAAAACAAAATTGAATTTTAAATTTCAATCTAGAGTGCCATGGCTGTGCTAAAAATACTAATTTTTAATCAAGGAGCCTTGGAAAAATAGATTTTATCGTCTAATGTTTTTAGTGTCTTATCCTGGTCGGTTAAAAGATGCCTGAATCGTACTTTTAATCATATCTCAATATTTTCAAATAGAACGGGGATGGCTCATTAGCATATTTGGAAAAAGCATTTTTTACGAATAATTTAATACCACACACTTGGTATTTGGAGTCAAATTGTCGTTATGAATCGCGTGTTGCAATTTCAAATAAACCATATATGCGAAAATGTCAAAAGTTGACATATGAGTGCCATTTTCTATAGACTAATGTAACAAAATACAGAGGGTGCTATTTAAAAGTTGTAGTCATTGCCGGTGAAACCGGCAGTGACCGAAAACAATTGAATACGCCAATCAATCATAATTTATGTCATATACTAACATACCAAATCTCGATTTTTTATCTGAAAAAATAAAAAAGTTATAGGGGGTGAGTCACTTTTGAGACCCACCCGGTATAAATGATATATATTAGAAATAACAGAAAGTATTAATTTTGTGGAATATAGTAGCATATGCTGATGATAGAAATCTCCTCATTAAACCAAAAAATATGCCAGAGTTGTTAGATAGGAAGTTATAGATATATTATAGATAAGGAAATTATAGACAATGCAAACATTTGATTTAACAAAAATCAGCTTATTCTGAACAAAACTAAAAATAAAATTATTTTCTTTCAAATGAAGCGCACCAATATACAAGAGTCTGATTTTATTCTTACAGAAGATACCCATTTTTTACATATTGTTCAGATCTATAGAAGAATATTTAGATTTAAAACTTATCAGGTATGGAATGGTAATATACGGAAGGTACGAATGAATTACATAAAATATGTCTAGTTCAAAAAAGAGCCCTACGCATTATGCTAGGCATGAAAATTAGCGAATCATGTAGAAATAAATTTAAAGAGAATAACATAGGTACAGTGACAGCTATTTTACTTCAAGAGTGCACTTTTATTTTCCTTTAAAAATAAATACCTATTTGACATTGATAAGCCACAGATATTATATAACACCAGGCATTCTGATAATAATTATCCAATCCACAGGCTTAAATTAACAGAGTTAGGACCATATTATTTGTTGTTAATTATTTAATAATCTCAAAATAAAACACTAAATCACCACAAAACACTTTTACTTTTACACTGGTTTACACTAGTTTTTAATCATCTGCTGATGATGCTAACATGGTTAGCGAAACGCACGTTCAGTGTAAAAGTAAAAGTGTTTTACACCAATTGGTGTTTTATTTTGCTGTGTAACACCAATGGTTCCAACTGTAATATTTAATAACCTACCTGATTATATGAAACAAATAGATAACGCGCCTTTTAATAATCACTTAT